ATACATATATGTGTATATATATCATAAACATGGGTGTACAAATGTCCCTTCAAGAGAGTGATTTGATTTCCTTCAGATATATACCCACATGTGTGATTGCTGGACCATATGGTAGTTCTATTTTTAACTTTTTTGAGGAAACTTCATACTGCTTTCCATAGTGGCTGCCTGGGAGGCAGCATTTCAAGTAACCCTGTGAGAACTGCTCCGAGGAGGTGAGGTGGGGAGCTAGGTTATATAGAAGTTTTGTAACAAAGGGCAGGTAGTCTGAACTTCAAGATTATTGTTAATTAAAGAAAACCAGATGACCCAAGTTAAGGAATTTAGCGCTTTTCTATGTATGGGAAGAGGCAAGAGTCTGGGCTCACTGAAATCATACCTTTGATTTTTGACAGTTTTTAAAATACTCTGTTCCACTTTTTTCGTTATTTTTCTCTTTGCCTTTCAGTTTGGGAAGTTTCTATTGCCATATCTTCAAGTTCACTGATTTCTTTCTTTGGCTGTTTCCAGTCTACTGGAGCCCATCAAAGGCATTCTTAATTTCTGTTATAGTGCTTTTGATTTATAACATTTCATTTTGATTATTTCTTAGAGGTTTAATCTCTGCATACATTATGTATATGTTCTTTCATGTAGTCTACTTTTTCACTAGGGCTCTTATTGTATTATAGTTATTTTAAATTCCCAGTTTGAAAATTCCAAAATTTCTGCCACATCTGCATCTGGTCTTGATGCTTGCTTTGTGTCTTCAGCCTGTGTGTTTTGCTTTTATCATGCCTTATAATTTTTTGTTTAAAGCTAGACATGATATATCAGGTAAAAGAACTGAAGTATATACAGTTTTGTTATGATGTTTTATGTTCAACTGGAGACGAGTTAGACTGTGTTTTCTGTTTTATTGTAGCTGGTGTCACAGGCTAAAATTTCCTTTATTTTCCTTTTTTGGTCTCCCCTATTGTCTTTGGCTTTCCCTAGAAAATACTTCTTTAATGGAAGCTGAGAATTGCAGTTTTTCCATCTGTAACCCATTATCCATGGGCCTTGGTGAAGTCGTGGTAAGGTATGAGGGAGTAGAAAAGCATTCTATAATCCTATGATTAGATCTCTGTCTTTTATTGGCAGTCTCCTCTGGTCTGTGACTTTCACAATTGCTTCTCAGCTTGTTTCCCCCAGAAACAAGATTCTTGATTCTTCTAGATTCTTGATTCTTCAAGATTCTTTAGACAGAAAGGTTAAAGAGGGCTGGACTTGGATATCTCCCTTCCCCAATGTTTAAAGTCCAAGAGGCTGGAGTTTGGTATTTCCTTTACCTCACATCTGTTAGGTTCTAGTAAAGTAGTTTTTCTTGAAGGCAGGCCTTTGTTAAGAAGAATGCTATTGGTGTATTTCAAATGTTTACTTTTCTCCTCCCTTTGCTGAAAGCATGAGTAGATTTTATTTCTGATACTCAGCTAAGGTACCTGGTAGGGCTCCTGGAGGCAAATTTCATGAAAGTGTATGGCATATCCAGGGCTGTGTCCTAGAATTTTTTTATTGCTCAACCTAGTTCATGTTCAGTTTCTGGCAATTATTCAATTATTCTTAAGTTTTCCTCCTAATTGCTGGCTCCAGTGTTGGTTTCTATTCCCAGGAGTATGTAATTTTCAGTATTCATCTATCTCCACAGATTGAGAGTGGCAGTTTGACCTGTGACTTCAATTCTCTGACAGGGCTAAGAAGAGTTGTTGACTGTCAGTTTTTTCAGCTTTTATTGGTTTGGAGTGCAGAAGTGAGGACTTCCAAGTTCTTTACACATGGAAGACAAAGTGGAAGACAGAAGTCTTGCATATCTTTAAAAAATAATTATTCCTAGATTTTTTATTTGTTTTGGTGCTAATACAAAATTTCATCATTCCTAAAAAATGTTCATTTTCTAATTTTGTGTTCTTAGTATACAGAAATAAAACTGGGTTTTATACATTTTTACTTTATATTCAGTAATTTTAATAAATCCAGTTGATTAAGAGTTTATCTGTAGACTACAGATTCTTTTAGACTACATACCTGCACAGTTACATCGTCTGCAATTTATGAGTTTTATTTCTTTCTTTGAATGCTTACAAGTTTTATTATTTTTTTGTAAGAACTATGGTTGCCAGTACAAAAATGAGTAGAAATAGTGATAACACACGTTTATCTCATTCCCAGTATTGGAGGAAATATTTTACTATAAAATTGCTAAAATTCTTTTGTATTTTTTACAGATACAAATGTCAAACAAGGAAATATTATGAAGAGTGTTTTATTGAGATTTAATGATTTTTTTTCCTTATTCAATAAATATAATGTTTTTTATTCCTGTAAAATTGGCAGTAATGTTCCCAATTTCTATTCTGATTTAATAGCGTGAGTCTTCTTTCTTTTTTCTTCAACAGTCTAGTTAAAGTTTTGTCAATTTTGTTGATCTAATGTGAGTCTCTTATGGAAAGCATATAGTTGGATATTTTTTTTTTATCCATTCTGTCAATCTCTGCCTTTTGTTTAGAAAGTTTAATCCATTTACATTTAAGGGACTTATTTATGCCATTTTGCTATTTGTTTTCTGTATGTCTTATTTTTCTTTGTTCTTCATTTCCTCTAATACTGCCTTCTTTTGTGTTCAATTTATTTTTTTTGGCTGTGTCATGCAGCATGTGGGATCTTAGTTCCCCAACCAGCGATCAAACCCATGCCCCCTGCATTGGAAGCACAGATTCGTAACCACTGGACGGCCAGCGAAGTCTGTCAATTGATTTTTTTAAGGGACTAGTTTTGTTTCCTTTCTCATTTCCTTTGTGTATATTCTACAGATATTTTCTTTTTGGTTACCAAGAGGATTATGTATAACATCGTAAAGTTATAAAAAATCTAGTTTAAATTGATGCCAATTAACTTCAATAACATCCAAAAGCTGTACTCCTATACGGCTCAATCCCTCTCTTTTTGATACTGATGTTATGAATCGTATCTTTATACACTGTGTGCCCAATAACATAGACTTATAATTATTTTTCTTTAAACTATTATATAAAATTAAAAGTAGAGCTCCAAACTAAAATTACAATAATACTGGCTTTTATATATGCCATGTACTTACCTATACCGTAGATCTTTCTTCATACAGCTTCAACCTACTGTCTAACATCCTTTCACGTCAACCTCAGGGATTTCCTTTAGCATTTTCTATAGAGCAGGTCTAGTGGTAATCCCTTCAATGCTAGGAGTGCTCCTATTCTTTGTAGATTTTTTTTGTGCTGGGCACTGCTTCACATCTCCACAAAATTTTCTTACCAGTTTGAAGATGGCTTTTTCTTAATTGTGCATTCTCTTGGTTACTGTAAACATTTCACTGTTTCCCAGTGCTCTGACAAAGTTGGTTCTGATGGCTTTCTGCTTTTTGTTTTTCTTTTCTTTTTTTTTTTTTGCGGTACACGGGCCTCTCACTGTTGTGGCCTCTCCCGTTGTGGAGCACAGGCTCCGGACGCGCAGGCTCAGCGGCCATGGCTCACGGGCCCAGCTGCTCCGCGGCATGTGGGATCTTCCCGGACCGGGGCACGAACCCATGTCCCCTGCATCGGCAGGTGGACTCTCAACCACTGCATCACCAGGGAAGCCCTCTTTTTTTTTTTTTTTTTTTTTTTTAATGTTTCTGTCAGGGAGCAAGAGCTTAGGGCCTCCTAGTCTGCCATTTTGCTGACATCTGCTTTAAAGTGGTTGTTTGAAAGCTGCTACAGAACACTTAAATTTATCTTATTGCAAAGTACTTAAGTACTTAGTCCTTTGGCCACATCAGCTTTAACATAGGTTTTTTTGGCCGTGCTGCATGGCTTGTGGGATTTCAGTTCTCTGAACAGGGACTGAACCCAGGCCATGGCAATGAAAGCCCTGAATCCTAATCACTAGGCCACCAGGGAATTCCCTAGCACAGGTTTTTTAACTATTAGAAATTTGCCAACTTTGTGATAAGAAGATCACAAAGCAGCCATATTGCCTATCTAGTGATAATTCCATTTTTTCATTGTCTTGTTATCATAAAAGATGATATAAGTAACGAAAATTGTGTTCTCTGAGGAACTGATAATATAGCATCTAGTCTATGTCATGAAAATTCATAATGTAGGGAAAAGCCTATACATATATTTTTTATGAGCAGATAAACTCTTAAGCATTACCTAATTAATGTTTGTTTGGTGGAGTAATGAGCACATGATAAATTCTTTTAAAATACATATTAATTGGGCTTCCCTGGTGGCGCAGTGGTTGAGAGTCTGCCTGCCGATGCAGGGGACACGGGTTTGTGCCCTGGTCCAGGAAGATTCCACATGCAGCGGAGCGGCTAGGCCCATGAGCCATGGCCGCTGAGCCTGCGTGTCCGGAGCCTGTGCTCCGCAACGGGAGAGGCCACAACAGTGAGAGGCCCATGTACCACTTAAAAAAAAAAAAAAAAAAAAAAAAAAGATACATATTAATTGATATATTGATTGGTTAATAAAATAATGAAATTATTACAGTTGTCCCTCGGTATCTGCAGGGGATTAGTCTCAGGATCCCCTGTGGATGCCAAAACCTGAAGATGCTCAAGTCTCTTGTATAAAACAGTGTAATGTTTTCCTATAACCTATGCACATTCTCCTGTATACTTTAAATCATCTCTAGGTTACTTATAATACCTAATACAATGTAAATGCTATATAAATACCCATAAATGCTATGTAGATAGTTAGTTGCCAGTGCATGGAAAATCCAAGTTTTGCTTTTTGGAACTTTCTGAAAATTTCTTTTCAGAATATTTTTGATCTGTGGTCAAGTGAATCTGTAGATGTGAAACCCATGGATACAGAGGGCCAACTGTATTAAATTGAGAAAGGTTGTCCTATGTTTGAATTTCTTGTTTTCTTTTAATAACTGTACTACACAGTTGAAATACTGTAACTCTTAGTAAGTGTTCTACTGTGCCCAACCATTATAAATCTCTACTTACCTACCACTTTGTTTAAACCTAATTGAAATATTAGGTCATTAACTGATGGATTCACTGCTGGAAGATTTTCTGCTGTATCTGGATGTTCTGAGGCTGCTTCATTTTTAACTGTAATAATAATAGATTGCCAGATTAGTTGATTTAAAACTAACATTTTGTTGGGGTAAAATTATAAAGTTAATAAGAGCGATTTACCGTATACTTATTTAATCTTGTTTAATTAACAATTTAACATACTGCTTATTCAATTAAATACAAATATGTCTAAAAATTTTTAAAACTTTACTAGCTACTAGTTGCCAGATATTATTATATCTGTACTTTTCAAATATTATCTCATTTAATAAGAATTCTAGGAAGTAGGTATTTTTATTCTCATTTAACAGATGAGGAAAATAGAGCTTAGAGAGATTATGCATATTTTGGAAGGTCACATAGTTATTAAGCACAAAAGTTTGAAATGAATTTTGTTCCTTTAGACTCTAAAACCTACACTCTAGCTAGTAAACTGAAATGTCTACTGAGATTGAGAATGTAGTATGAGTGAAATAAACCTGATGATGTTTGGAGTGGCATGAATAGCAGAAATGAAATGGAGAGCACAGGCATACCTCATTTCATTGTGCTTCACCTTTACTGCCCTTTGCAGATACTGCGTTTTTCACAAATTGAAGGTGTGTGGCAACTGTGCATGGAGCAAATGTATCAGCGCCACTTTTTTTTTATTGGCGTATAATTGCTTTACAATGGTGTGTTAGTTTCTGCTTTATATTTCAGTGCCATTGTTTTTTTAACAGCATTTGCTTACTTCATGTCTCTGTGTCACATTTTGGTAGTTCTGGCAATACTTCAAATGTTTTCATTTTTATTATATTTGTTATGGTGATCTGTGATCAGTGATATTTGATGTTACTATTGCAAAAAGATTACAATTCGCTGAAGACTCAGATGATCGTTAGCAGTTTTTAGCAATAAGGTATTTTTAAATTAAGGTATGTACATTTTTTTAGACATAATGCTACTGTACACTTAATAGACTACAGTATAGTGTAAACATAACTTCTCTATATACTGGAAAACGAAAAATTTGTGTGACTCAGTTTATTGTGATATTCACTTTATTGCAGAGGTCTGGACCAAACCCACAATATCTCTGAGGTATGCCTGTACATATCTTATATAAAGTTATTACTCCCATTGATTGTTACAAATGTAGGTCTGAGGTTCCTGGGTCATCTAAATTCGCAAGAGAACCTAGAAAGGTAGTTAGTTACAAGAACTCCAAGATTTTAAAATATCTGCAAGTAATTAAAAAGTTTTAAGCATGTTCGTAGGATAAAACAAATCATCAATTATTGACCCAAGAGAATTACCTAACTTGGGAAAGGATTAATTCTAACATGTGGGTGGGATTTGAAAGCCAATAACTGGTTATATTTCTTTGGAAAACATCATCATTTATCCACCAATATATCTCTATCATCTAGGAACAGAAATAAGATTTAAAATCTAGATTAAATTGGTACTTTCAAAAGAAGAAAAAAAAACAAGATATGCCAGGAAAAAAATGGAAAGAACAATTAAAAATTAAAATGTGCAATTAAATTAATCACTTTTGAAAACTGCCAAGAACAAATATTTTCATGGGTAGAATTCTTCATAAATCTTAAAGGATTAAATCCTATGCTATGGCACATAAAAATGGAATTTTCTATTTCTTTCACAAGGTCAAAAATACAGTAGTCCCCCCATATCTGCAGTTTCCGTGGTCAACCCTGGTCCAAAAATGTTAAACAGAAAATTCCAGAAATAAACAATTAATAAGTTTCAAATTGCGTGTTGTTCTGAGTAGGGTAATGAACTCTCACACTGTCCTGCTCTGTCCTGCCTGGGACATGAATCATCCCTTTGTCCAGCGTATCCATGCTGTATATCCTGCCCATTAGACACTTAGTAGCTATCTTGGTTATCAGATTGAGTGTCATAGTATTGCAGTGCTTATGCTATAGTAACCCTTATTATACTAATAATGACCTATTGACCATCAAATAAATTATGGACAGGAAACACAGGAAAAGACACAGTATATACAGGGTTCAGTACCATCTGGTGGTTCTCAGGCATCCATTGTTTTAAAGTATTTCATATAATTCCCACAATTATTTTGTGAGGTACATACTATTACTAGCCCTATTTTTCAGATGAAGAAACTGAAACATGGAGAGATTAACTAGCTTACACAGTTAGTAAGAGACAGAGGTAGGCACCAAAGACAGGCAGTCTATTTTCAGCATCCGTACTTTTAAACACTACCCCTACCATTACCTCTCATAAGAAGATAGGCATCTCCTAATGGAAACAACACAAATATTCATCCACAGGAGAATGGGCAAATTAATTATAATATATTCATAAACCAGGTCAATATACAGCAATAAAAATAAATGAATAAGGACTAGAATTATCAACAGTGATCTTGAACCAAAAAAGCAAGTTGCTTAAGAAAGCATACAGCATACTACAAACAAAACAATAGCATAAATCCTTTACAGATGAAAACATACCTAACAAAAGTATAAAGAAATATATATGGTAATGATAAATATCAAATTCAGAAAAGAAGGAGGCAATAATCTGAGAGGAATAGAGAGGGTCGGACTTCAATATTTAACGTATATTATATTCATTAAACTGGGAAACAGACACACAAGTGTTCATTACATTAACTCTTATCATACCTTTCTGTATTTCAAAATAAATTAAAAGTAACAGAAACAACCTAAAACACCTAGGTTTTATTTGGTTCTCTTTCACTTGAAAATATTCTTTTTTTAAATTAATTTTTATTGGAGTATAGTTGCTTTACAATGTGTTAGTTTCTACTGTATAGCAAAATTAATCAGTTATACATATACATATATCCCCTCTTTTTTGGATTTCCTTTCGATTTAGGTCACCACAGTGCATTAAGTAGAGCTTTCTGTGCTACACAGTATGTTCTCATTAGTTATCTATTTTATACATAGTACCAATAGTGTAGATATGTCAATCCCAATCTTCCAATTAAGAAGCACAAAGATAAACCAAATCTTCTGTTACACTAAGTCAAAAATCCAAATAAAAATTTTCCAATCTTTCTAATAATGTCCATTTTTCCTCAAATCCATTTTTTAAGCAAACAGAAAAAATAAACAGATAAATTTATTTAAAATATACAACAAAAAATACACTAATATCAAAGAACTATAGTAGAAAATATATAATGATATCAAGAGTAAGATCCAGTAGATAAAAAACAAATGTTCCTTTTCTCTTCTTGAAACCATATAACAATATAAAGAATAGGTCTACTGGATAATAACAAATATTTTTAGCAGATAATGTACTTGATAAGAATTGAAATGTGAATGCTGGATATAAGTCATACTTTTAAAAATGAAATAACTGTAATAGCTCCATAAGATTCCTAGAAAAGCATGTCCTAAACTTGTTCTCTATGAAACACTGCTCCATAAAAAGAGAAAGGCAGGGTTTCTTGCTCAATAAATTTAAGAAATACAGTATAATAATGAGAATATTAAAGACTACAAGAAGGAATGGGGGGTGCTAATATCATTACAGCATTTATTAGTTCTGCAGAATTCCAATTTTTGTTAAATTGTATTCTAAAATATCTAACCTAAGGAAAAAATTCAACTATAAAACATAAACTAATTGATGCACATTTAAAATATATTTTTAAATTGTCAAATATTTTATGATGACTTTTAAAATATGTTTATCAATATCATTCATACCTCTCAATTTTTGAGACTCATAAACTCCACTTGTTTGAATTTTATCCTTGTATCCTTTAGCTAGTACTAGATCTTCAAGTATAAAATTCTCATCTGAGAGTTCATTCGCATCTTGATCTACCAAGATGAAGAAAACTTTCCGTAAACTAAATACAGAAACACTACTGAAAACCACACACTGCGGCCTAATTCCAAGAAGATTATAATGTCTAGAGGTTAGGAAGATATTCTTACATCAAGTGAGAAGAGAAAAATGATTACTCAATAAATGTCAGAAGTTCACTTAATAGATTTCAATATCTACTCTAGATAAAACTCTGTGAAAAATTAGAACTATAGATTTACTCCTAGTCATTACTCTCTTAATATAGAATATATTTCTGTCTCAATCCAACAGATAACACCTTGATTTATGGTGAAGCACCAAAAAATATTCTTATTAAAATTATAAACAAAACCAGAATGTGAATCATTATCATTTTAACAATTACCTAGTTCTGGTAAAGTTGGTATGATAAATATATGGAGCAGAAATTATGATGAAACTATAGAAGAAAATGTAGGGAAGAAGCTCCTTGACACTGGTGTTGGGAATGATTTTTTTTTTTTTTAATATATAACACCAAAAGCGCAAACAACAAAAGAAAAACTCAACAAATGGGACTACATCAAAGTTAAAACCTTCTGCACAGTAAAAGAAACAATTAATATAGTGAAAAGGCAATCTTTGGAATGGGAGAAAATTTTGGAAACCATGTATCAGATAAAGGGTTAATATCTAAAATATATAAAGAATTCATACAGCCTAATAACAAAAAACCAAACAATCCAACTGAAAAATTGGCAGAGAACTAACAAGTTATTTTTCTAAAAAAGACAACTGGACTTCCCTGGTGAGGCAGTGGTTAAGAATCTGCGTGCCAATGCAGGGGACACAGGTTCGATCCCTGGTCCAGGAAGATCCCACATGCCCTGGAGCAACTAAGCCCATGGGCCACAACTACTGAGCCTGCACTCTAGAATCCACGAGCCACAACTATTGAGCCCACATGCCACAACTACTTAAGCCCGTGCACCTACAGCCCATGCTCTGCAACAGAAGCCACTGCAATGAGAAGCCCGTGCACTGCAACGAAGAGTAGCCCCTACTCGCTGAAACTAGAGAAAGCCTGTGTGCAGCAATGAAGACCCAATGCAACCAAAAATAAAATAAATTGAAATAAATAAATTAATTTAAATAAATAAATAAATAAGACAACCAAATGGCCAACAAATATGTGAAAAGATGATCAACAATATTAATTATCAGAGAAATGCAAATCAAAGCTACAATGAGATATCATCTCACACATGTTGGGATGGCTATCATCAAGAGAACAAGAGATACAAGTGCTGGCAAAAATATAATGAAAAGGAAATCTCTGTACACTGCTAGTGGGAATGTAAATTGGTCTACCCACCATGGAAAACAATATGGAGGTTCCTCAAAAAATTAAAAATAGATCTACCATCTGATTCATCAATTCCGCTTCTAAGTACATACCCAAAGCAAATAAATACAGGATTTTGAGAAGATATATGTACTTATATTTTTATTGCAGCATTATTCACAACAGGAAGATATGGACACATCCTAAGAGTCCATCAGTGGATGTGGATAAAGAAGATGTGGTGTATATATATATATACAATGGAGTATTATTCAGCCATGTGAAAGGAGGACACCCTGCCATTTGAGACAACATGGATGAATCATGAGTACATTATGCTAAGAGAAATAAGTCATACAGAGAAAGGAAAATACAGTATGACATCATTTACATGTGGAATCTAAAAAAGCAAAACTTGTAAAAACAGAGAAAGAAATTGTGGTTAACCACAGGACACGGGGTGGGGTGACAGAATCAATGTTGTTTAAGAGTATACAAACGTGAGTAGTAAATAGAGATCTAATGCAAAGTATAACGAATATAGACAATATTGTACTAAAATCATCAAACTTGCTAATAGGCTAGAACTTAATTATTCCAACCAATAAAATGAAAGAATAATTATGTAATGTGATACAGGTGCTAATTATCACTACAATGGCAATCATATAACAATATATAAATGTATCAAATTAACATGTTTTACACCTTAAATTTACACGTTTTATGTCAAATGTACAATAAATGAAAAACAAAAAAATGTGTACATGAAAGGCCGCTAAATCATAAATAATAGAGTTTAAATCATACAGGATGTTGAAATGTTAAAATAATAGTAGTGAGAGGACTTCTATTTCTTGTATGACATGTAAAGTGCTTGGAAGTCACTACTTCCACTCTCACAATAAGAAAAAAGCCTAGCAAACTTTTTAAATTAAACATTTTTTTTCTTATCAAAGTCAAGGCAAAATGCTGCCCCCCAAATTGGAGAGAGAGGTGGATAAAAGAAGCATAGTTTATTGGCAGCTGAACTCCAGGAGCAGAAGCCCACTACTGAAGTCAGGACTAGTAGGAACACTTAAACTGTGATTGATGAATTGCTGAAAGTTCAGTATATACTAGCTTGAATCTTACTGGTACCCCCATGTTACTATGAGTTTCATGTCTAGGAAACCCAACCAGGTTCTCAGGATGAAGATCAGAGGAAAATTGCCACATGCTTCCAACAGGGAGAGGGGAAAGTAACTGTTTTTAATCATGCCCAGAGCTTTCTGTTCTCCTTAACAAAAGACTGCCCTCAAGGGAATCTATTTTACCAGAGCTTAACCAAAACACCGTTTACCAGAACCTAACAGACCTTAGGGAAGGGAAATGTTCAACATGGGGGTGAGCAGATATAAAATTTCAGCCCCTTCTAGCCTTCCTGTCTTACCAAACAAGTAGGAGAGACATGAGAAACACTTGTGAAGGTGGAAACCTAGCGACACAGGCTTACTAAAAGACTGAGACCTAATCAGAGGATTACAGAATGCTTCCCCTTCCCTGACACCTTACCACCACATTAATAAGCCTCCTATATAATTGCAAGTTACAGCTAAAAGGACAGCAAGCCTCAGACCCTACTTAAGGAATCTAAAGGGAAACCCAAAGATATCATGGGAGACAAAAAAAGGGATAATACAGGAACTTTTAGCATCTGATACCTACAACTACAGTAAACAAAAAATACAGCCTAATACCTAACCAGATAAACATGAAGCCTCACACTAAAGGCCTATATAAGCCTCAGTTCCTTTTACACAATACATCATGTCTGGATTTCAACAACAAAAACAACAAAAATGCAAGACACGCTAAAAGTAAAAACCTAGTCTAAAGAGTATGAGCACCAGACTCACACGACAGAGATCTTAGATTTATCATACTGTGTATGTGAAGTAATTATGGCTAATGTGCTAACAGCTCTCATGGAAAAAGAGACAGTATGCAAGAACATGCAAGAGTTATTTAAGCAGAAATCTGGAATCTCTAAGAAAAAATCAAAAGGAAATGTTAGAAATCAAAAACACTGCAACAAAAATGTAGAATTTCTTTGATGTGCTCATCAGTATATTGCATACAGTCAAGGAAAGACTCAGTGAGCTTGAAGATATGACATTAGGAACTTCCCGAATTGAAAAGAGAAAATAAATGGAAAAAAAGGAACAAAATATCAGAGATCTTTTGGACAATAATAAGAGGTGTAATATACACATAATGAGGACATCAGAAGGAGAACAATGAAACAGAATAAATATTTAAATAATGGCTGAGAGTTTTCCAAAAATAATAACAGACATCAAATCAATGATCATAGGAACTCACAGAACACCAAAAAGGATAAATACCAAAAAAAAGCTACACCTATTCGTATCATATTCAAATTGCAGAAAATCAAAGACAAAGAGAAAATCTTGAAAGACTCCAGAGAAAAACAAAAACAAAACACAAATATACTTTATCTATAGAGGGACAAGGATAAAAATATCTTATACTTTTCATCAAACTAAGCTAGCAAGAAGAGAATGGAGAGAAATATTTAAAGTGTTGAAAGAAAAAAATAAACCAACCTAGAATTTTGTATCCAGAAAAACCATCCTTCAAAACTGAAAGAGATATAATGATTTCCTCAGATTAAAAAAAAAAAAAAATTTGTTGCCAGTAGGCCTGCAGTGAAAGAAAATGTTAAAAGAAGTTCTTCAGAGAGAAGGAATAGGATACAGATCAGAAACCTAGATCTATATAAAGAGAATGGCATTAGAGAAGAAATAAATGAAGGTAAAATAAACTTTTCTTACTTAGTTGATATAACAGATAACAGTTTATTCATAATAATAATAGAAACAATGTATTCAGTGATTATAGCTTATAGGTAAATGAAATGAATGACAACAATTCTATAAGTGACAGGAGGAAGGAATTGGGATTACACTGTTATCAGATACCTGCACTACCCATGAAGTGGCATAGTGTTATTTGAAAGTACGCTTAGATTAGTGGTAAATGTATACTGCAAATTTTAAGACAATCACTAAAAATTTTTTTAAAGAAATATAATTGATATGCTAAGAAAGAAAAGAATATGGAATCATATTAAACATGTAGTTAAAGCCAGAGAAGGTAGGAAAAGAGTGGAAGGTGAAAAATAAAGTACTAGGGCACTGAAGAGAAAATAGTTACAAATATGATTAATATTAAATGAAATACCAATAATCACTTTAAATGTGAATGGTCTATTAATTAAAAGACAGAGACTGTCAGAGTGATTAAATAAACTGACCCAACTATAAGCTGTCAACAAGAAACTCATTTTAAATATAAAGATAAAGTAGACTGAAAATAAAGGGATGGAGAAAAGTGTATCATGCTAATACTAATCAAAGTAAAGCCAGAGAAGCTATATTAATCTGAGACAAAGCAGACTTCAGAGCAAGGAAATTACCAGGGGTAAAGAGAGCACTACATAATAATAAAGGGGTCAATAGCTAAGAAAACATAACAGTCTTTAATGAGTATGCACCTAACAACAGAGCAACAAAATATCAACACATGAGGCAAAAACAGAACTGCAAGGAGAAACAGACAAATCTACTTTTATACTTGCAGCTTGCAATACCATCTTATCAGTAACAGACAGATACAACAGGCTGAAAATCCATACCTTAACAAATTTAAAAGAATAGAAATCTTATGAAGTATACTCTCAGATCACAATAGATTTAAACTATATTAATCTAATGCCAAAACTAGGCAAAGAAATATCTCTCACAAATAAGATGCAAAAATCCTCCACAAAATATTAACAAATTGAGTGAAACAATGTATAAAAATAGTTATATATGATGACCAAGGAGGATTTATTCCAGGTATGCAATTCTGACTCAATATTTGGAAATCAATTAACGTAACTCAACAGACTAAAGAAAAAAATCATTTGATCAATCAGAAATGCAGAAAAATTATTCAAAAAAATCCAAAATCCATTCATGATACAACTGTCAGCAAACCAAGAATAGTGCGAACTTCCTCAATTTGATAAAGGACACCTACAAAGAAACCAACAGATAACATCACACTTAATGGTAAGAAACTAAATGCTGTCATCCTCAGATTAGGAATACATCAAGGATGTTTCTTTTCACCACTCCTATCCAACATCATACTGGAACTCACAGCTAATGTAATAAGTCAAGAAAAAGAAAGAAAAAGTATATAAATTGAGAAAAATAAACAAAACTATTCTTGTTGAACAACAACAGCAACAAAACTCCTGGAATTATAAGCTGGCTATAGCAAGGTTTCCAGATACAGGTTAATATACAAAAGTCAATTGATTTCCTGTATGTCAGCAGTGAACAAGTGAAATTTGAAATTGAACACAATACCATTTATATTAGCACCAAAAATGAAATACTTAAGTATAACTCTTCAGACACAAGCGTCATCAAAGATTTAATGTAGAGATTTTCCATGTTCATGGATAGGAAGGCTCAATATTGTTAAGCTGTTAGCTTTTCCCAACTTGATTCAATGCAATCCCAAGCAAAATTCCAATAAGCTATTTTGTGGATATTGACAAACTGGTTCTAAAGTTTATATAGAAAAGCAAAATACCTACATTAGCCAATACAATATTGAAGAAAAACAAGGTCAGAGAACTGATGCTACCCAACTTCAAGGCTTCCTACAGAAATCAAGACAATTGGTGAAAGAATAGATAAGTCAGTCAATTGTAACAGAACAAAGAGATACAGACCTATAAAAATACAGTCAATGATCTCTGTCAAAAAAGCAAAAGCTATTCAATGGAGAAACGACAGTCTTTTCAACAAATAGTACTTATACAACTGGACAGCCAAATGCAAAAAAAAAGTGAATCTAGACCTGACACCTTACCAAGAATTAACACAGAATGGCTCATAGACCTAAATGTAAAATGCAAACCTATAATTCTCCTAGATGGTAACACAGATGAACATCTAGGTGATCTTACGTTTGGTGTTGATTTTTCAGATAGAACACCAGAAGCACAATCCAAAAAAAAAATTGATAAGCTGGGTTTCATTAAGAAAAATACACACACAACTTCTGCTCTGTGAAAGACACTGTTAAGAGAGTGATAATACAAGCCACAGGCTGGGAGAAAATATTTACAGAACAGATATTTAAGATCTGTTATCCAAAACATGCAAAGAACTCTTAAACCTTGACAATTAGAAAACAAATAACACAATTACAACGTGGGCAAAGATGTGAACAAATAACCTACCAAAGAAGTCATTTAGATGGCAAATAAGCATATGAAAAGATGTTCAGCATATACATCATTAAGCAATTGTAAATTAAAACAACAGTGAGATATCACTACATACCAATAGCTAAAATTCAAACACTGAAAACAACAAATGATGTCAGGAATGTGGAGCAATGGGAAACCTGATTCGTAGCTGGTAGGAATGCGAAACACTACAGCCACTTTGAGGACGGTTTGGCAGTTTCTTACAAAGTTAAATTATAGTTTTACCATATGATCCAGCAATTGTGCTCTTAGGTACTTATCTAACAGTGTTGAAAATTTATGTTCCCACAAAAGTTATGCAGTAACCAACAGGTACTAAGTTGTTTGTACACAACTAATTAATAAAGAAACTGTTGGGCTTCTGTTGTGGTTTAGGATCATTATGAAAAAATTACTGAGACCATGCAAAACACCACAAACTTCTGTCTGAATTGTTTACAGAAGACTGTGTAAATACTTATCATAAGAAAGCAAACATGGCTATATTATTATCAAACAAAATAAACATTAGGCAAAAGAAATGTATTTTTAGAGATAAACAGTGTACTTTTACAGAGATAAACAGTGTACTTTTATAGCTCATGTTTACCAGGAAGATATAACAAGTATAAATTTGTACACATTTAATAACATCATTTCCAAATATATAAACCAATCTGGCTAAACTACCCGTAAACACAAAGAAGTCCGTAATCACAGTGGGAAAATTTAACATACATCTCTTAGTAACACAGAATAAACGAAACTTCAATGGAATTGAAAAAGAATTGACTAACACAGTAAATATATTTGATCTAATAGATTTATACAAAAGATATGAGTAAACATTCATAAACCTAAGAGAGAGGGTTTTTTTTCACTTACTTTAATTAAAAATAAATCAATAATATTGAAATTTATCATACTTACTATTTAGTGCTTTCATTGTGACAGCTCTAAGTTTCTTAGTTTGAGATTGGCTTTTTGACAATTCAACTTCATCCTCGGGTAATACGTCTTCTGCTTTCTGAGCTACGAGAAAGATGCTTTTAATCCATTAAATAGAGAACTGGATTTATTGAAAATCCTCTGTAATTCAAACACATGTCAATTATCCAGGAATATTTCTTCTCATGGCTTGAAACAATAAAGTCAAATACCACATTATTGAGAGTGAATTACAGAGTGAGTATGAGAAGTGTAGAGACAATGGGAGTACTGTTCAAAAAGAATAGTTTTATAAGGTATCACATTTTAGGATTAAGTGCAATATTTTCATAACAGATATATGAGTGAGAAAAAAAAGAAATGATAAATAATACATTCAAAATAAATTTAGAAGATTCAAAAGCAGATCAGGTAAGAAAGACAGAAAATACAGGCAATGGTATACTTACCTCCAAAATATCCATGCTTCCAGTAAATACAAATGTATTCAATGCTCCATTTAAAGCACAAAGAGTGTTACATTGGATTAAAAAATAACCAATTATATACAGCTAAGTCATAATAATAGAAAAAGGTTAAAAATAAAGTGACGAAAAAATTATTCTATGCAAGTAGTTACATAAAGAAAGATACCACGCCAACATCAGACAAAACAGACTAAAGGCACAAAAAAATTACTACAAAATGTCCATCATAAAGACAGAAATTTCAGTTCACTAAGAATAGATAACAATTTAAAATGTGTATATTTATTATATATATATATCTGTATGTAATATATAATCTATATGTAATACAGATTATGTGTCTGTATATTTTTATTTATAATAAAGCTTTAGAAACATAATTAACTTCACCTAATGGAGAATACATACACAAACACGTTGTATATGCTATGTATATGTGTACCTATATGTATATATGATACACTATATAGCATGTATTTCTATGGTCAATTGAATAAATATTAAACAACCAGAGAAATTTAATTAAAAATCATTATATGATATTCTTACTACAAATCCTCACTTTTCTGGCAGTTCCAAGTGTCTTAATTTGAGATGAGTTTTATAAGGTTTAAACTTTTTCTTTACATGAAAGATTTCATCTGACATCCATTTTCTCAGCTACAAGTATAGAGGCTCTTAATCCAATAAAAAGTAAAACAGCTGCATTGTAAAACCTCTGGATTATTAATGTATACCAAGAACAACTTAGTTTCCATTCAGCTTTACAACAACTTAAGCAAATACACACAATTTAAACAAATGATCAAACCGTCCTCCCCTTGCCCACCCCACCTCCAATCTTCTGGTGCATTTTCAAAATGGACTATGAAATTAAGCATAAAAATCATCAGAGTGCTCTCCTCAAAGTATGTGGAAGACTCTTGTTACTGAATACATACACCTAGAAAGTTGTAATTAGGGACTTCCCTGGTGGTGCAGTGGTTAAGAATCCGCCTGCCAATGCAGGGGTCATGAGTTCGACTCCTGGTCTGGGAAGATCCCACATGCTGCAGAGCAGCTAAGCCCGTGCACCACAACTACTGAGCCTGTGCTCTAGAGCCTGCGAGCCACAACTACTGAGCCCACGTGCCACAACTACTGAAGCCTGCGCACCTAGAGCCCGTGTTCCACAACAAGAGAAGCCACCGCAATGAGAAGCCTGTGCACTGCAACAAAGAGTAGCCCCTGCTCACCGCAACTGGAGAAAGCCTGTGTGCAGCAACAAAGACCCAACGCAGCCAAAAATAAATAAATAAAACAAATAAATTTATTTTAAAAAAAAGAAAGTTGTAATTAGATTTTACTGTACTAAGGGTATTAATATTTTTAAAATATTAAAACATTTTTAACAACGTATATGATTGATTTAAAAGTTAAACTAACTAGAAAGTAATAATTCAAAAATAAGGAAAGAAAATAGAAAGAAACCTGGATCAGGTAGGAGAAATAGAAAGCACCCAAAAAAGGAAATATTTAAATCTAAATATATTAGTAAGTACAGTAATTATAAGTGGCTTACATGTTGTAGTGAGAGACAAAGACAGTCACACTGGATTTATAAGCAATTTAACTATAATTTATTTATGAGAGGTCACTGAATTACAAGAACATAGAAAATTGTAAAGTAAGGAAGTGAAAAAAGATATGCCTGAAAATACTAACCAAAATAAATCTGCAGGAGTTATGTCAATGTCATACAAAATAGGATTTTAGTCAAACGACCTTACTGGAGACAGGCTAAGATGGTACCTTTTATAAAAAGAAAATGTTGAGTCCATAAGGACTATCAAATATTTTTTTTTGTATGCACCTAACAACATAGACAGTATAAGGAAAAAGGACAATACTACAAGAAGAAATAGATAAATCCACAATCATAGTGGGAGAATACATTCACTCCATAATCGACAGACAAACAAAATGCAAGAAAATCAAGAAATAGGAATTTAAATAACACAGTAAAAATTTGACTTAGATGTCTGTAAGCTCACACATTCATGAATATAATTCTGCTTAAAACAATTAAAATGTAAAATAATTTTATAATACTCATAATTCAGTATTTACAAGTTGAGTCTTTTCTTTCTAGCAGTTCCAAATGTCAGGCAAAAGACTTTCATCTGGTACCTCTTCCATTTTCTGAGCTTCAGGAAGAAAGGCTCATAAAAGCACTAAATAGAGAACCAGATCTGTGGTGGAACCTCTATATTTACAATATATGTTAGTTACCCAACAATATCTTATCTCATCTTTTAATGATATATACAAATCACTATTTGAAGTGTAAACATCATGTGAACACAACACTTTTCACACATGTATATATAAGCAGTCGTTACTTTTTAGATATACAGAAGCATTAAATGTATTTAATTTAGAAATATTGTTATTATAAACATTATTATACTTAGGTTTTAAATTATTATTTTGTTTTACAGTATGCATATTTTTGAATAAAGTTTAAATTTTTGGTATTAAATATGGCTAATGAAAAATATATATAATGATAAAAAATAGAGTGAAAGAGTGAAAGAAACATCAGATACAAAAAATGGTGGAATACAAAATGGTGGAATTACACTTAAAAATATCAATAATTGGTTTATATATGATTATGAGAGGTAATTAAAAGATCAGGCTGAATTCTAAAATATAGACAATTATAAGTTTCTTACAAAAGATAGAGCAAAATCATAAAGACACAGGAAAATTAAAGTAACACGATAAAAAAAAATGTATCACACAAATACCAACCAGAAGAAAATTTATGGAGCTACCCTGATAGCAGATAAGGTAGTTTTAAAGGAAAATAAACAAATAAAAACTATAAAAATGATGAAGTGGGTCTCTTCATTAGGACAAAATGTTCTGTCCCCCAAGAATGTTATCAATTTAAAATTTATATGCACATAAATAATAGAGTATCATAAGATATAAACCAAAGCTTGCCATGACTAAATAGAAAAATCCACAAAGTGTAAGATTTAACATATCTAATTCAGTGATTATAAAAGAAACAGATAAATCATCAATAAAGATCTAAAGTATGATGGGAATAATTACTAAAGAAGCAAATGGTTGAAGATATATTCATGAACAAAAAAGTGTTTTGAATTTAATTAAAAACAATTTATAAGATTTATGTTTAATTACTTACTATCAAGATTCTCCTGTCTGATAGCTCTAAGGTTCTTAGTTTGAGATTGGTTTCTTGAAAAAAAACCTTTCTTCTCAGGAGGTAGATTTTCAAGTGTTATCGTATCGTTTTTCTCGTTTTGAAGAGGAAATGCTAAGTAGAAAATGATACATGTATAATGGAACTTCTGGATATGCCAAATAATCAAATTTTCTTTCCATAAAGGTGAATTGAGAAAAATCATGTGAATAGTTTTCATGACTGTGTGTGGAAGTAGTCAGTCTTGTTACTTAGTAATTATTGACTGCACAAATACCAACCAAAAGGTATCATTACTTTTGCTTTTGTTCTCTAATTATCTTAGGGTATTCACACTTTAGGTCATTTAGTTTTACTTCTATGAAATATATGCTCAAATACATATTCATGAACCAAAGGAAAAAAAATCTTCTGATGAGTTTAATTTAAAATGATTTAAAGTTTCCTTTTATTATACTTACTATTGCGTCTCTCCTCTCTGGAAGTTATTTGTTTCTTTACTTGCAATTGGGGTTTTGAAACTGAAACTTGTTTCACAAGCACAGGATTTTTATCTGGTACTCCATAATAACCCATATAAAGAGGTGCATTTAGTCCACTAAATGTGCAATCTCTAGATTTCAAATTTATAACAAGTGTACAGTAGCATTTTGTCTCATTTTTATAAAGTCATAAGTCAATAATTATAATGCTAGATCTGTCATAAAACTGGATGATGCTGAAGCTGTCTCATTATTTCATAAATATTCCTAAGCAACAAATACATTTCATATTGGTCTTCAGGTTTCATGGGTTATTTATGCTTTAGTTTAATACATAATAATAGACCAAGCAATGAAAATGCCTATGCAGAAGATCATTCATTAATTGCAAAACACTTACAACCATCTACATGTTCAAGCACAGGACACTGATTGAATAAACTGATATATATACCACAACTATGGTATTGGTATAAGTACTGCTACAATGGTAGGTAATTAAATAGATAAGATAGTATATAAACATCTGTACGCAGAGTGAGATATTCCCCTCTGTACTAATACATCAGATGTTTGCTGGATGACGTTTCATGGGGAAATGAAAGACTAGTTGAAACACTGGTGGAACTCATGCCCTTTCATGTTTAGACTCATATTATTGCAGTAAGTGAATAAAGGCTTGTTATTTTCAGTTTGGTTCGTTGTCTTTATACACCACCTTCACAACTGGTAGCTCTCTCTCAGTGACAAATGGTGGCAAGCAGGGTGGCCCAATTAAGCACAATGCCTTTCTGGAAAAGTAAAAAGCATGAAGACCCCCCAGGGCATTTTGGGGAGATGCTTGAGAAGACTACAAGGCTTCTTGGGAAGTACCAGCTGGTCATTTGCAGGAGTCTGAGGGTCCTAAAATGCACTCTGCCAGCCACAGCAATGAGTCTCAGGAAGTGCTATGTCAAGAATGCCCTGGGGCACTGCTGGAGAGGGCTAGCAGATTGTTTATGCAAGCTTTTGGGGTTAGAGGGGTAACAGTGGTCCTTCTCTTTAGTCCCAGACTCCCTGCCAAAATGCCTGGTGGGTCAAATTAGGGATCCAACAGAGGGGCTCTGGGAAATCTAGGGAAGCAATTCCCTGGCTACTGCTATTGTCCTCTGATGATAGTACTAAGTACAAGCTAAGCTGCACCCAACCATTGCTGTCAGCTTTTTTTTTTTTTTTCCCAATACGTGGGCCTCTCACTGTTGTGGCCTCTCCCGTTGCAGAGCACAGGCTCCGGATGCGCAGGCTCAGCGGCCATGGCTCACGGGCCCAGCCGCTCCACGGCATGTGGGATCTTCCCAGACCGGGGCACGAACCTGTGTCCCCTGCATTTGCAGGCATACTCTCAACCACTGCGCCACCAGGGAAGCCCTGCTGTCAGCTTTAATGAGGTCCCAGACAACGATGGACAGCCTACAATATAGTAAGTTATTGAGACTCATGATTTAATTAAATATAGAACTCCTTGGGATTGCTTTGCCCAGTGATATAAAGAGATCTTAGAGACCTGGATTGTTCACTTGCATGATGAAGGAGGTAATCTTAAACTTCGTGAGGGACCATGATACTTTGGGTTGTGGTCACTCTAAAACCCCTTTTTAAGTCTGCCCTGACAGCAGAAAGTTTGCTCAAGGAGGAGGAAGAAAGAGGGAAGATGAGAGGCAAATACCAAGACGCTCTCCTTCCTCAGCTGGGAACTGTTCATGCTCTGACAGCTTTCCGCCTGAACCTATCACTAAAATCATGTTTGGACCACCAATGCAGAGTCTAGAGCAGCCCTTTTAATCATGCTACAATAATGAGTAAGAACAGTAGATAAGATTGTTAACCAGCTCACATTTCTAGGTTTATTTGTGCTACTCCTGCTGGTTATCGAACTAAATCAAACTTCTTCATCAGGTCAGGTGACAATGTTCTGCAACAAAATCCAGAACCTAACGGACATATTTTCAGGCACGGAGAAAACAGCTTCTGCCCAAATAGTAAAGACTGACTGACAAAGAGAGCAATATAAAACGGTAACCATGTGCTCTCCCCTGGATGATGCTTCTAGAGAAGCCCTCTGAGTCTGGTTATTCAAAGAGGAGGTTGATGACCAGATATTAGGCTATAAGGGCCACAAAAGGTAGCACCATTAGGGTCTGCATGTTAACAAGTGCTATGATTAATGAAAGTGTTATCCCCTCAGCTTCTCCCTGTGAATATGGAGATGAATAGGTGAGCCCTTCTAACTTGTACTGCGAACTCTCAACTTTCAACAACAAAGACTGGGTCCCAATATCCCCAGTAGGGACCAGAGGTTGTATCCCAGGGTCAGAGTTCAATGGGGAGGTAGGGAAGAACTATATTTCTGGGCCTTTTGGATACTAGCGCAGAGGCAACTGTGACGCACAAACCCCATCACCAGAATGAGGGGAAAACAAATAATGTCTCTGATTTTGGGTCTGAGGCCACTACCAGTTGGACCCTTACCTAGACCCACTGTGGATGGGTCTCTGTGGCCAACTCCAAACTCCAAATAAAACCTTTTTATGGCATTCACTACTGAATGTATTACCAATAGAGATGTATTGTCTAAGTGAACACCTGCTCACATTTGCCCACAAGCCCCGAAGAAAACTGCTCCAGTTAACACCATTTTAGTGCGGTACATGGAAGACCACAAACCTCCCTGACTAGCAGCCCCTAGTGCTGTTGTTTCTCAAAAATAGTAGCAACTGCCTAGAGTGAAAAAGAAAAAAGCAATGCCTTCATTGCTGAGTTTAAGAACAACAAAGTTCTTCATGAGACTAATTCTCCACTCAATAGCCCTATCTCACCTGTGCACATGGCCCTAGGAGCATGGAGTCTCAAGGGATTATCGGCAGCTCAACACTGTAGCAAAACTCTAAGCACTGGCAGTAGCTGACTTTGAAACTGTCACAGAGGCGACTGCCCACCAAGATAAAGAAACTTGGTGTACAACAAATGACATCACTGTCCACGTGGATAATCCAGGATCAGTTTAATTTGATGTGGAGTGGGGTGCAATATACGACTAATGTCCTTCCACAAGTCTACCCAAATTCCTACTATTTGTCATCAGATACAATAAGACCTAGAAGAAGTCTGGCTACTGGAAGGAACACTAGCCTTCCACAAAACCGAAGATGTCTTCCTGGTGGTCCCAGACAAGGTCATTACCCAATAAGGACTGGTCACTCTGCAGACTCACATGGGGCAACATGACTGAGCCATTAACACAAGGTACCAAGATCTATCATCCAAGTGAAATTCCTAGGCATGATCTGGAAAGGGTGACAACATCCTATTCCAGAGGAGATGATTGCCAATATTTGATCCTCTCAACTCCCCCAAATAAAAAAGAGATCCAGCAATTGGTCATACTTTTCTGGTACTGGCACTTTCCACGCAGGGAACTTGATGGTACCTATCTATGAGGTTACCAAGAAGACCTCGCCCTGTGTGGGGCCGGATTAACAGAATACACTGGTGCGGGTATGGGGAGTCTCTAGCAAGCCTCCCAGGCTGCCCTTCCCCTAAGCCTCTCTGATTCCTATTTGCTGTTTTAGTTACAGATCTCAAAAACTTCTCGGTTTGTCAATTGGCGCCTATGGCAGAATGGCCCTGATACTGGTCAGAAGTGCCCACTGGGCATAACTTCCCGGAACCTGTAATCTCCCAGAATCATCTAAAAGGTACACACACTTTGAGATACTATTGGACAGCTATTGGTCCTTGGTGGATACTGAGTGCACGTCCTATGGCTGTTAAATAATCTTATGACTAGAAATTCCAATCTGAAGGTATTAACACTTTTGATTTTGTTCTCTAGTTAACTTAGGGTATTCACAGTTTAGGTCATTTATTTTTACTTCTATAAAATATACACTTAAATACATATTCATGAACCAAAGAAAAAAGATCTTCTGATGAGTTTAAAATAATTTAGAGTTACCCATAATTATTATACTTACTATGACTCATCTCCTTTCTGTAAGGTATTTGTTTCTCTACTTGCATTTGGGGTTTTGACACTGAATCTTGATTTACAAGCGTAAGATTTTCACCCAGTACTCCAATATGACCTACATAAAGAGATCCATTTAGTCCACTAAATGGGAAAACAGATCCATTGTGAAATCTCTAGATTTCAAATTTATAACAAGTGTACAGTAGCATTTTCTCTCATTTTTAAAGTTATCAATGAACTGCCATAATGTTAGGTCTTACATGAAAATAAGAAAAGTTTTAATGGGTGCTACTGAAACTGTCTCGTTATTTCATAGATATCTTGAGGAATCAAATATATTTCATACTAATCTCTACTTTTGGGGTATGTATACATTACATAAATACACAATAGTAGATGAAACAATAAAAATACATATGTACAAGGTTATTCATTACAGTATTATTTGTAATTGCAAAATATTTTAAACCACCTAAATGTTCAAGAATAGGATATTGGTTGAATAAACCAAGGTGTAAATTATGGTATAGTATAAACTATGGTATATAATGTACTATTTTACATATTTATGTAAAAATTTTTAAAAGATTTTTATAAACTACATGGAGGAATTTCTAGGAGGTAATGTTAAGTGGAAAAAATTTTTTAAAGGTTATCTAGTATACTAACTTTTGGCTCAGAAAGCAGTAATCGGAAGAAATGAGAAATAGATACTAACTTTACAAGATGAAGCACAGAAAAGATAAGCAAAAAAATCATGTAGTTGGTTACCTGCCAGAAGACAGGGTGGGAGAAAGGACTGGGGAATGCATGGGAAGGACTGGGGAAGAAATGACGCTCTTAAGTATACCTTTGGTATAATATTTACTTCTGGAAGTAGGTCAATGTTCCATACATTCCAAAAATAAAACTAAATCAACAAGGATAAGAAAAAGAAATGAAAAAACATAATGAAATGAACCTACTGAAGGGTTAAAAAAATGATTCAAATTAGTCATAAATAGTGTTTGAAACATACCCTCAGACTTGGGCAAGAGTATGGGGTACAGACAGAAAGCAAATCACTAAATCTTCCTAGTAGGCTTTTTTTTTTAGTGGTATGTGCTAAGTAATTCTGTAACAAGGGTTGAAGCATTGTAGAGTTAAGCAAATACATAACTCTGCTGATGTTTTAAGAGTCAGGATTAACACCCTGGAAGAAAGGACACACACATATGAAACGGAGGAAGGCAAGAAGGAGACCTGAGGGACTAGAACTGAAGGTGTCTGGGAGTCCTCATGATTTCTAAAATATATGTGCACATAACATATGCATATATGTGTGCACGTGCACATGTATGTATGAATATATGTACATGTGTGTCAAAACTAAGGAGTGTGGATCCAAGTGAAAATCCTATGTGTCATCTTACCTGGCAGTTACCATGGGAGAAAGCTTCCTACCCACACTAGACCGACTGCACAGCCAGTATATTCATGGGTTCAGGCCCCTCCAGGCCAACCACAGTCTTACACAGCCCCAGTTAAGGGCTCAAATGATGCACTGTTCTGTTCAGGTGACTCTGCTTTGACAACCTCACTGGGGAGGCTTGAAGACGATTTTCTCCTATCTGACTCAGTTTTCGCTACTTTTCCATTCCTAGACCTTCCTGCATTCCCTACCTCCTGGGTCCATAAAATGGCAAGAGCCTTTAGTTTAGGGCTCCTTTGGCAATGAGACAATCCCCCAACCATTTCTGATAAAACATCTCTTACCTGGGGCCTTCAGTGGGGAAAAATGGAATAATAAAGCTGGGACCTTTCCTGTTTAGACTCATACTTATGCTATCACAGTAATCGAATAAAGGTTTAATTGTTATTTTCAGTTTGGCTTGTTATAATTGACCAACTCAACAACTGGCAGTGCTTTCTCTGACAAATTGGTGCAGTGAGCAGGATGGATAGTACAGGCACACCTTGGAGATGTCACGGGTTCAGTTCCAGACCCCCGCAACAAAGTGAATATTTCAGTAAAGCGAGTCATATGAATTTTTTGGTTTCCCAGTGCACATATAAAAGCTATGTTTACACGATACAGTAGTCTATTAATTGTGCAATAGCATTATGTCTATAAAAATCAATGTACGTATCTTATTTTAAAAATACTTTATTGCTACAAAATGCTAGCCATCATCTGAGCCTTCAGCTAGTCCTAATCTTTTTGCCACTGAAGGGTCTTGCCTCGATGTTGATGGCTGCTGGCTGATCAGGGTGGTGGTTGCTGAAGGCTGGGGTGGCTGTGGCAATTTCTTAAAATAAGACCACAGTGAAGTTTGGCTCATTGGTTGACTCTTCTTTTCATGAATGATTTCTCTGTAGCATGCAATGCTGTTTCACAGCATGCAGAACTTCTTTCAAAATGAGAGTCAATCCTCTCAAAACTTGCTGCTGCTTTATCAACTAAGTGCATATAATATTCTAAATCCCTTGTTGTCATTCCAGCAATCTTCACATCATCTTCACCAGGAGTAGATTCCATCTCAAGAAACCACTTTCTTTGCTCAACCATAAGAAGCAACTCTTCATTCATTAAAATCTTCTCATGAGATTTTAGCAATTCAGTTGCATCTTCAGTCTCTACTTCTAATTCTAGTTTTCTTGCTATTTCCACCACATCTGTAGTTGCTTCCTCCACTGAAGTCTTGAATTCTTCAAAGTCATCCATGAGGGCTGGAATCAACTCCTTCCAAACTTCCCTTAATGTTGACATTTTGACCTCTTCCCAAGAATCATGAATGTTCTTAATGGCATCTAGAGTGGTGAATCCTTTCCAGAAGGTTTTCAATTTACTTTGCCCAGATCCATCAGAGGAATCATTATCTATGGCAGCTATAGCTTTACAAAATGTATTTCTTAAATAATAAGACTTGAAAATTGAAATTACTCCTTCATCCATGGGCTGCAGGATGGATGTTGTGTTAGCAGGCATGAAAACATTAATCCTGTTGTACAGCTCCAGAAGAGTTCTTGGGTGACCAGGTGCATTATCAGTGAGCAGTAATATTTTGAAATTTTCTGAGCAGTAGGTCTCAACAGTGGGCTTAAAATATGTAGTAAACCATTTTGCAAACACATGTGCTATTATCTGGACTTTGTTGTCCATTTACAGATCACAGGCAGAGTAGATTTAGCATAATTCTTAAGGGCCTTAGGATTTTCAGAATGATAAATGAGCATTGGCTTCAACTTCAAGTTACCAGCTGCATTAGCCCCTAACAAGAGTCAGCCTGTACTTTGAAGTTTTGAAGCCAGGCATTGACTTCTCTCTAACTCTGAAAGTCCTAGATGGCATCTTCTTCCAATAGGGGGCTGTTTCATCTACATTGAAAATCTGATGTTTAGTGTAGCCACCTTCATTAATTATCTTAGCTAGGTCTCCTGGGTAACTTGCTGCAGCTTCTACGTAAGCACTTGCTGATTCCCCTTGCACTTTTGTGTTATGGAGATGGCTTCTTTCCTTAAACATCATGAGACAACTTCTGCTAGCTTCAAACTTTTCTTCTGCAGCTTCCTCACCTCTCTTGGCCTTCATAGAATTGAAGAGAGTTAGGGCCTTGCTCTGGATTAGGCTTTCGCTTAAGCAAATGTTGTGGCTGGTTTCACATCTTCTGTCCAGACCACTGAAATTTTATCCGTATCAGCAATAGGCCTGTCTCGCTTTCCTATTATTTGTGTGTTCACTAGAGTAGCACTTTTAGTTTCCTTCAAGAACTTTTCCTTTGCATTCACAACTTGGCTATAGTTTGGAGCAAGAGGACTAGCTTTTGGCCTTTCTCGGCTTTCGACATGCCCTCCTCACTTAGCTTAATCATTTCTAGCTTTTGATTTAAACTAACGTGCAACTCCTCCTTTCAGTTGAACATACAGAGGCCATTGTAGGGTTATTAATTGGCCTAATTTCAATATTGTTCTGTCTGAGGAAACAGGGAGGCTAGAGGAGAGGAAGAGAGCCGGTAGAGCAGTCAGAACACACATAACATTTATCAATTAAGTTTACCATCTATATGCGTGTGGTTTGTGGTGTCCCAAAACAACTACAATAATAACATCAAAGCTCACTGATCACAGATCACCATAACAAATATAATAATAATGAAAAAAGTTTGAATATTGTAAGAATTACCAAAATGTGACACAGAGACATGAGGTGAGCAAATGCTTTTGGAAAAATGGCACCGATAGACTTGCTTGATGCAAGGTTGCCACAATCCTTCAATTTGTAAAAAATGCAGTATCTGCAAAATGCAATAAAATGAGGTATGCCTGTAAAGCACAGTGCCTTTCTAGGAAAGCAAAACTCTGAAGATCCCATGGGGCACTTTTGAGAGGTGATACAGAGGTCCATCAGACACTCTCAAGTGATACTAATGGATCACATGCAAGAGCCTGAGAGTTCCATGGGTGCTTCATCAGCCATGCTCATGTGTCTCAAAAAGGACTAGTGGACCCTGGGGTTTCTTTGGGGAGTGCTAGTGACTTTTTACATAAGCTTTTCAGGTATAAGGGGGAACAGCGGTCCTTCCCTTTAGTTTCCACCCCCTTGCCCAAACTTGACTCAACTCCATGAGTCAAATTACAGATCCAAAAGAGACACTCATAGGAAAGCTAGGGAAGCAATTCTCTAGCTACTGATGGGAACAAAATTCCTTCCTCTAGTGATGGGAACAAAATTTGTCAGAGACCCTGAATTGCATCCCAATACTACTGTTAACTGTAAGCACGTCCCTGGCACCAAAAAACAGCCTAAAACAAAGTGAATTTTTGTTGGGACTTATGCCTAAAATGTAAAATAATGAAGAGCCTTTTGGGATTACTTCACCCCAGCAATCTGAAGCTCTCAGAGACTTGGGTAGTTTGCCTCCAAGATGGAGGAGGTAATCTTGTTTTACTTACTAAGAGAATGGTACCTCTGGTATGTGACCCCCACTTTCAGAGTACAAAACAGCAGCTACTTTGCCTAAAGAAGAAGATGGCACTGGGATGAAAGGATACAAGCACTCAAGATCATTTGGGGTCTGAGAGATTTGACCCCATGCACCATGAGTTCCTTGCCACTAAACAGCAAGGAACTCATGG